AACTACTTTTATCAGCAAAGTTTGACCCATCAAGCGCAGAGAAATGGGTTCAGTTTGATGAGAAATCGAGAAAATTAGTTGGAAACCCCACCGAAGACGCGAATAAGAACACCACGGTTCTCTTGCACATATCTGATCCGGCAGGTGGTAGCACGGATACTACCATGAACATCCTAGTTTCAAATTGTGTTGGTGAGAGGTGTATTAAACACGTTCCACGAGAGATTTTGGCCGTAGCCATTACGTTATCAGCTGCTTTTGGAGTATGTTTGTTGATAACATTTGGATTTATCTTGTTCAGGAAATATAAGAGGATTAACGAAAAGAAATCTATAAATAAACAAACAAATGAAGTTTTTTCAGTCGAATCGGACAATGAAGGGGGATATAACGATCAGGCGTCTCGCGAAAATATACGAATCTACGAAGAGAAAGAAATCAGAAGTCAAGTTGCTATGTATAATTTCCAAAATGTCGCAATCACGGATGCCACGAGATTGGAAACATCATATAATTCGGAAATTTCGAACGTTGGAGCTCGAATGCCTTGGAAAATTGAAAGAGAAGCTTCCTCAACCGACGTTTCTTTGACCAAGAATAGAAAAATCATTCACAAAGAAAGCTCCGGCTCTTCCTTGTATTCTTACTCGTCCGCTGCGGCTTCGTGCGACAATATTTCACAATCCATGACATTGTCAGGCATAAAGAGAATGGAAGTTCCTGAAAATTGCGTGTCGAATATCCCCGTGATTTATGCAACGCCTGGATCTTCTTTCATATATCAAGTTGAATATCCTCTCCCTTCGCTTACTCATTACGGACTTCAAGAATTCATGGCCGTCACCGATCCAGATGGTGGTCCAATTCCCAAGTGGTTAAATTTTAATAAGATGCATGTAACTTTTTCGGGAGTACCTTCCAAGGTTGACGTTGGTCAGACAAGCATCAAGGTGTTAAAAGTTGTCGGTGGTGTAAATTCGCATGATGTTTTAGGTTCACACGTAGGCACCGGATGTTTGAATAATTTTAAGGTGGTAGAAAACTTTTTGTTAATTGTTGAAGATGACAACCAGAAATATTGAAGATTTCACTCCGGAATGCCAAGAAAAAGTAAGTTTGTTTCGAATCAGATACTAATTAAAGATAGTTTGATTTGATGTTCTCAAATTGGAATCATTAAAGAACTACTTGACATAATAGCACGTTTATTAAAATAAAAAATTTGCGAGATCCAATAAATGAAAAAGTTATTCATTTGAAGTTATTTTGGTATCTTCGAGTCTTTTCCCGCCATCACTTCATCTCTCACCTTTTTCCAAATTTACCACTATCCGATGATTATGTTGTGACGTAACCGCTCATCCATCCTGATTCTCATCGCCCTTTTGGAAATTTGTTTACTATTATAAACAGAGGGATAATCCATATGCTAAACGGTGGAATGTCTGAATATAAAAAGAAAACGTGGTAAAAATCATGAATACCAATACAAGTTCAGTTTATCAACCAAGATATTTGACCAATTAATTCTTTTTTCATCCTCACAGTAATATCATCGATGACTAATGAACGTTCTTGCTCAAATGATCGTTTGGCTGCATGTACATGTTTATATTCCCCATTCGCAAACATATGGCGGATTACTATTAATCGCGTATACAAATAAATAATTTATTATGCGTGTCGAGGCCCTTATTCTCACATCTTTGTGTACGTACGAACGTATGCAATATTATTTACTGGATATTGTTTAAATTTCGGCTAAATTTAAGGCAACGAGTGTAACAGGACACATTTCTTTCTTTGTTTACGGTATTCAGGTCACATTCAGGTATTAGGAAAACGCGTATGTACATACGTACCTATGTCGAGATAATCTCCACCAGATTTCACAAAATTTATTGTCATGTATGTAAACAATGATTCGGATGAGTAATAACGCACGATGAGAATGATTTTCAGGATTAGCAATTCACACAAGTTTCTGAGCTTGTTTAAATTCCGCTGTCCTGATTAGTGTCACGATATTATTTAACCAAAATATTTCGAGCAGCACGGGCAGCTTTAAATGTCACCTAGCATATATATATTACTGGTCTCACACAAAAATGACAATTACGACTTTTTTGTCAACTCCGCCGAGCACCTGACACAAACTTTATAAATTCCTGTGCAGAAAATCATCATGAAAATCTCATCCCTGGACGTTATTTCTCCGCGCTTATCAAGTACGTACTTTATCAGATATATAGATATATATATATACTTATTTATATATATATACATATCCGTCGTGTGTTTTACCTTCATGTCAATTGGGCTTATTATGCATCACTAGGAGACAAAAGAGGACACCCTCCCCCAAAATAATTATCATTCGCGCACGAGACAGTTTTGATGTTTTTCATTTACAAAGAAAATCGATTAAATTAGAAATTCTTGAACAATGGACGATAATTCGGTGCCTGCGAGTAGGGAAAACGCGGGAAATGATAGCAAAAATAACACAACCTCGGATAATGATAACAGGGATGCCTTTGATAAGAACTCTGGAATTTCTGACATTGCAAGCAAACCTTTTCAAACTTCTCTCAACATTGTAACCACCCCTTTGGACACTACTGCTAAATCATTACCGACCGGCAGTGAAGTCGTTGCCGCGTCACATACGACCTCGGACGTATTCATCGAAACTTCTGCCTCTGTTAATAATGTACTCTCGGCCCCTGAAATGTCACGTTATCAGATAAGCAACAGTGAACTTTTAGAAAATACCATTGCTCAGAGGTATGGTTTCATATGATTTTAGATTTTATTTCGGCTTCAGGAGAATAGCAAATATGTGAGCATCATGATGCATGGTCGATTTTTGACCTTGAAAATATGTTGGCTTAAGACAAAATCATCGGGTGCACCATTGTTCTACTGGATGAACATATGTGGAATTCATTCACCTATTGCATGGAGATCGTCAATCGTGTTAATATGGACGACCAGTTGAATAGCTCGACCACATTACCTGATTTCGTCTTCACTGTTCCAGTGCAAAATCACAGAGGGTACTTGCTCACCTTTTCATTCGAAACTGAGACGAGCGAATTTTTTAAAAATTTTCAATGCACATCTACGCTGCCATAGAGAAATTGTTAGAATGGTCGATCGTCAATAAAGTTTGATTAGTTAGTTAGTCGTGGTTTACATTATTCACGCTTGTGCGACGTGAACTTGGAATTTAAGTTGGATGGATATCTAAAAATTTTTGGACCTCTCGATTATTAGTTTCTGAGATTAGCTATTGGACACGTGAATTAATTCCGTCTTACTTTGTATCTAACTTTATTTTAATTTGGTGCGGCATTAACCATAAAACAGAGCATACCCGGATTCCGCGAGAACTGACAATCGGTCGCGAGAAAATCGCTTATCCGCTCCTACTCCATACAGGCCAGTGGAACACAAGGTCCCCGTTAAACCCCGTTCAAATTCGCATGTCATACCTCCGTCTTCGATGCACCGGTATAATTCCACAATGACAGTATCTAAATCCGACGGTGATTTCACCATGCTTTCCAGAATACTAAATTGGCCAAATCAACCAAATCAAGGCATCAATAAACAATTGTCAGAGAAATTAAGTAGTTCAGGGACAAATGATAATTTGGTGAACGACGGCGAGATAATATTCGATACCTTACCATTTAGTCGAACCGGAGATAGGAAACAATTCGTTGGGAAATATACACTCCAAACACATTCACGGTTTCCTATTCCTCAAGGACGTTCCTTGGTAAATGCTACGATGCACCAGAACATTTCACCATTAACGTCCGAGGTATCTCCACTCGTTTCAACCAATTACGGTACGGAAATTTTTGATCAAATAAAGTCGGATGATGATCCTAAACTTGTAGTTTGGTCAATACCCAGAGCTCAAGAAAGGGTACACAGAAATACCACGTCCACCTCAATTATTACCTCTCCCAAAAAATGGAGTTTTTACGAGACGATGGGGAGGGCTAGCAAATCATTTGGTAATGCTGGACTGAGGGACAAGAAAGAACATAGGAAAAAACGAAAGAAAGAATCCAAAAACAATAAATCTTCCACGTTATCGTCAAGCGTGGGGAAGGTTATCATGGCGGCCACTATCGAAAAATTGATCGAAAAGTTGACAAGTGAAATAGGTATAATTTCTCAAGTTCTCCATCTTTCTTCCAATTCGAATTATCCCTCACCGAACGAAATTGATTTTCGGCAGATTACACCTTCTTGACGGATTTTTTCCTTACTTACAGGAGTTTCATATCACCGGTGCAACTATGTAACCTGTTAATATTAAGGTTTAATTGGGCACTGGAAAGGGATGAAGAAGACAGGAGGATTGCAAGAGTCAGGTGCGATGCATTGAAATGATCTCAGGCATTTGTAAATCGTGACAATTGGTTAATTCTTCAAATTGGTACAATGTTTAATAGGACTTTTGTGGCAATACGTCACTGGCTTCTTAATTATTTTTATTTCGATTTTGTTTCGTGTCGTGAATTAAGGTCGATACTTACAAACTATCTCAATGATCTCTCCGCACGCCAATCCATAAGGGATTCTCCACGAGATCAGAGGATAGTGCAGGGTTTAAGGAAGGTGTTGAAAAGATTAAAAAAGCTTTACTATCAGAAGGATTTAAGCCCGGGTTTTGGAAAGCACGGAGATCGCCTGTCTGGTGATGATATTGAAGACAAAAAGTATTTTGAGGACATTGATGACATGGTTGTGGTAATGCCTCAAAGGAAATTTGGGTCGGTACAATTGCCCGGACAATATGGTTATGGTACGGTGGATAGTGGGGGTGGGTTCTTCGGAACTTCGATGACCTCCGAATCTCAGAACATTTACCCCATGATATTAGGAAATAGTAGCACTTCCAAAGAACAATCTACATTAATAAATAGACCTTTAAAAAAAGCTTCGTCATATTCTTCTTTATATTCGGTGATCACTCCCGGAACAACCGATTCAGAAGAGGAAGAAAACGATCCGATTGTAAATAATTCCAATCTGAATTCGAGTGTTTCGCGAAGAGAACATGGTCACGAAGTAGGCCTTAGCCAAACTTTACAGTACAGTGAGTCTTCTTCCCTAAAGCACACGAATGATCAAGATACTGGTTTTTATCATCACAGATGGGCAATATCTCTGCCCACCATTTCCAGCGGTGACGACGATGTAGTAGGTGGAAAAATGAACACGAGTTCTGGTGTGGATAACAAAGAGAGCAAGATATCATCTAAAATGGAACGCGTTATAGTTGATCCCCTGGAACAATCAGAAAAAATTAAAGAATTTGAAAAAAGAATAATAAGGCTGAAAAGTAGATCGATGAGTGACATACCTTCAAAAAAAAAATTGCAAGATCCTGTGGATAACTTTGACAGGAATGATGAAGCATTGGTTGGCAAAGAGCCACCACCACTTCCACCACGTCGTCGTAGGAGGCATACTCTGGATGTCTCGTCAAAACAACCTCCATCTCCCTCTTTCTTTAAGAGTATGTTCGTTAAGGGTAGCTTTCCTATAAGGAAACTTAAGAATATGGTCTCCCAAGAAAAATCTGGTGACAATATACAGCGAAAAAAGAGAAGCCTGTCTTTCTCGGAGGCGATTTGTGGTATTGTCGAAAATGATGATGAGGAAGAGGATGAATATGAAGAAGAGGATGAGGAAAACGAGTTCGATCTTTTTGCGATTGACCATTCAAGTGGGGTCGCAAGAAGAAATTCTTCTCCTTCATACGTCGATACATCAGGTGGATCACAAGATCAACGTCCAACTCATAGAAGTAACGAACAGGAGTCTACTTCCAGACCCTGGCATCGTAAGATGTCAGGTACCGTGGGAAGGTTAGCTAAAGGATTGTTTTCAGGCGAGAGAAACAAGAATTCCATGGCTTCCTTTTCAGGTGTTATACCTGGGTGTGGAACGCAAGGTGACAACAGCACTAATCGAATCAGTAAATTCGGATTTCTCTGTGCTACTACCCCCGTCGAACCTGTTAACATGGAAGAAAGTGATTCAAGTTTTTCTTGGAATGAGAACATGAATACACGTGTGATCGATGAAAATGATCAATTTCATTTGGACGGATTTTCATATGTTGATGAATCGGTTGAAGACGAATTTTATGACACCACACGTGCAGAGAATTTTGAGGAAACAGAACGGCAATTCGAACAATGGGAAAACGAAGATGTCAATAAAGGCATTAGTTATGATGGGGGCTCGACCTCATTACAAATACCTACATTTCCTCAAAACACCTATTCTAAGGCATGGGGTGTAGAAGAGACAAATAAAAATAATACCCATCATCTATCTGAATCCATTGAAGTTGAAAACTATTCTAAGGACAATGAACCTGAAGACCCGCAAATAATCCGTAGACTACATCGTCAAGGAAAAATTTATGATGTCGAAGATGTTGAGAATATAAATTTTTCACAACAGACATCAACCGAGGGTGATAATTATCAATCCGTACGTTCTCAAAACTTTCGTACCCTCCGTCATCTCCCTAAGGTGCATAATCTACATTCGGTTGTCACGCTTAAAGACCTAGAAAATAAACCTAGCAAACAAATTTCATGGGACACTTTCACGTCACAAGAGTTTGGTGAAGGAGAGAATGTTGTACTGTCTTCAAATATCATAGGCTCTGTGGAGGAAACTAGTAAGGAATCTATATTTCGGGAATCGGAGGCTAACAGAAGAGTAAAAGATGATAAAACCATTGATCCCCATTACGTAAGTTTGGATGAAAATTCCACGGGCTTATCCCAAACCGAAATGGATAAAGGTCGAGGTGGAAATGGTCGAGGATTTGTTCTCGGAAAAATTCTCCAATCATCAAAAAAACATAAGCCTCCTGCAATTTCAATTCAACAGGTTGAGACCATCGACCCCAATTTTTCTCAAGGACCAAATAAACGTATCTTGGTACAAACCCCGAGCAGTATGCATAGTCGAATGTCCTCATCCACATCCTCAGACCTAAATTTTCAAAATCAACAGCCGTACCAATCATTTATCTTAATGTATCGCTCAGATGTCATCGCGAGACAGTTTTGTTTGATCGAACGCGACCTCTTGTTAAACGTTCAATGGGAAGAGTTGGTTGATATCGGATGGATTAAAGAAGAGGACGACCTTGATTTCTCAGAGAAAGATGCAGACAAGCAAGATAAAAGTAAAAAAGCAAAAGGAAAAGAAAGAGAAAGAGATCCCTCGGAAGTTCATAAAGGAGAAAATCAATCAAAGTTAAAATCAAAGCGATCAAGCAAAAATGGTGGTGGCGTGAAAAAAGTAGTCGAAAGGTTCAATGTGGCACGTATTATTGTCTCTTTTTTCTTTTCCGTGATCACAAATAACAATTGTATTTTCATCACACATATTTAAAGGCATGTGACTGGGTGTCCACCGAGATTGTGCTCACCCGAGACCTGAACGATCGAGTTCGAGTAATTGAAAAGTTTATACATATTGCACAGGTATGTGTTTTGTCCTTGGTTATTTCGACTCACGTTTTGATTTTTAACAGTTCATTTGGTTTTTGAAATAGCAATGCCTTCAATTATCCAATTTTGCTACATTGGCACAAATTCTTCTCGGACTACAATCATCTCCTGTGGAACGTCTACGCCGTACATGGACGCAAGTTCGAGATTCTGAGATGCGCACCTTAAAAGAATTAAATGAATATATATCTCCCTTTGGGAATTGGAAGGTGATCAGGGATACGATGCGTCAAGTTGTAGAAAATTCGACAATAATAAACGAAGTGGTCAAAAAAAGTCGACTTGGAACCGGTGTTAAAAAGATCAATACTGGATGCATTCCTTTTTTGGGTATTCCGTTTTTATTTATATTGCAAATATGTAAATATAATCTTTTTCCATCATCGAATAACCCTGTCTCCTTCACACATTAGGTCTTTACCTCTCAGATTTAGTCTTTAATTCGGCAGTTCCTTCGTTCATTGACCCAGCTCCACCAACCCCATCAACGCCATCCTTTTCTGCACTCATAGATCGCCCACAACAACCATTAGTAAACTTTCATAAACACAGAACCACAGCGACAATTGTTAAACGTATAATGGCCTTCCAAAATTTAGCACGCAGTTACACTGTCCCGATCGAACCAGATGTTTATTCAAAGTGCGCCGAGTTGAAAGGTGTCGAAGCCACAAGATTGGTGGTGATGGATTTAGACGTTGAAGATTATGTGTGAAAAAATAACCCTGCATACACATTGTCATAGCTTTTAAGTCATTGAAAACTTAATAATAGAACGGTAATGTGACGACGTATCGTAATTTTGATTATTAGTCGAGATGAAGAAATATCAAAAATTATAAATGACAAAATAATTTTAAGCAATTTTGCTTCCATCAACTTGCATATGCGTCTTCAATGAACGTTAATCGTTAATTAGCAAAAGTATTATCAGAAGTTAGTAATTAATTTGTCATAGGTTTGATTGATTTGATCATTTGATCGGTCGCGCAAACACGAGGTTTTATTGTCGTCTGAGAAACATCGATTTTATGAAATTCTGAATTTGTAATTATGACACGTAAAAAAAAATTAAATTTGGGTAAGTAACCTGTAGGTCGTAAATAACTGATAATCAGCTCAGCATATAATTTTTTTCTCTTCATGCATTAGAATTTATTTTACGTACACAGAATTCAGACATTGTGTCAGAGATGTTTAATAATTGTACCTCTCTCGCCTACGAGGAATCAAGTAATCACAATAAAAACAATTCTAACTCATTGAATCCCATATCAAGCAATTTTATTGACGAAATTTCATCGAGAAAAACGAGTTTAATACTACCAGATGGATTTTCAGGACTAGAAAGAATCTGTTTGACCGCAAATGGGAACTTACAAAGAATTCTGAGGTATCTACTCTAAATTTCATATGTCAAATGATTTAGACCGTCGAAAGTTCAATAACCTTGATCCTTTTCAGTGCTTGGTTCAATAAACCCATAGAAATACAAATTATCAAAAATGTTTCCGTGAACACCACAAGTTCGACACTAAAATCATTTGATAACTGCGAAACCGTCAACCACCTTGATCATGGTAATGATGATGGTCCAATTCTACAAAGATATGACCGAGAAGTGAGACTTGTATGTTCAAACAAGATTGTGTGTAGCGCATTTAGTGATGTCATAGTTCGTGACAAAAAAATTTTTAATTTAATTGAAAACGAAGGTGTCGGTCTTGGTCAATTGTTTAGGTGAGAATTTGTACATAAAAAAAGCTTTTTTTCACAAAGTATAACCATCAAGTCATTGAATATTTTGAAACGTCAGTTATTTTGATAGGGCGCCGTCATTTCAACTACTTCGAGTGGGACGCGACTCGCAAAGTTGGTGGCGCGTGTATACTTTAAAAATTCAGAGTATTGAATGTGAAATTAAAGAAGTTTTTCCATGTAATTTATTTGAGACTGGAGGAATAGATATCAATCCAAAATGTTGATTCTAATAATTTTCTTTTCTCTAGTATTATATATTTTTCCCAGTGGACTTTCTCGACAATTATATATAATCTTTTACTTCCAAAAAAAAATGTTTATTTAAACATGAAACCAAAATTGCATTATGTATTTTATATGATTAAATCCGGAATCCTTGAGCTTGAACGATTATTACCTTACGAATTTGGTATTGTCAATGAACAAAATTAAATGTTAAATAAGAAGTAATATTTCAATGAACATGGGAAATCCGAAATCTCAAAAAAATTTTCAAAATCTATTATTTTTTTATATAATAAATACATGGTATCGATCATTTCTTTAAATAAATTTAAATATTATTAAAATAGGAATGCTCTAAATAGGTATTCTAGTTATAAACATGTAATTATGAAAAATAAATAGAAAATTATTTATAATATGAAAGAATAAAAGTAGTTTAGACTAAATCGAATGACAAAATGACAAAAAATTATTGTGACTATTATACAACAGTAAGTGCTTGGAAACTCTTTTCTATGTGAATATAATGAGTTGCCTGCAATCGTGATTCTGGAAAGCTTTCGAACAATAACTACAAAGTAACACGTGATATTAATTGATTTCATCTAACGTAATTACTTAAAAACGATTAATTCTATTAATTCCATTACTAAGAAAGTTTCCAAAATATTAAACAATGAAATTCTATGAAGCCCGACATAACTGTTTTATTTTATAAGGTTTATAATGCTTAAGGATGTACTCAATACCATCACACAGAATCCAAATATCACGCAACATACCGCCGGAAACTTTTTCACGCTCAACCAGTTTCCCGATGATAATTTCAAGAAACACAGTGGCGGTAGAATATAAGCCAGTGCAGTTGCTGAAAATCCACCAGTAATTTCAAGTACTATGCCAAGGTCATCGGTTAAAAGCGAAACAGACATTGCACCTCCAACCAGTGATGTGGTTATAATGACATGTCTTACGAGTGAAAACGGTTTCTGAGAAAAAAAATAGTTATTGATTACCTGGAAAAAAAAATGAAAGTTATATAAATACATCATAGTTGAGAAGGTATGTGATGTAGAATAAGTAATACTTGCCTCTCTACATACGAATGATTCTAATGGTAGAGTGGTAAACATATTAAATCCAAAACAGAACCTCGCGACATTTATTAGAAAATCATTATCAGGAAAATTATTTAGAATATTTCCTACAATATGACGAACAGCATATATGCACCGTTATTAATATTCACGATAGAAAGTCTAAATGAAGTTAGATAATCAGTAAATAAGTAGTAACCTTGTGTTTTATCAGTAAACACCAAATATCCAACTAAAGCCATAACCATACACGCAACCATAGACATTCCAGTCGATAAGTGCGTGACAGCCGCAAATCTATTCAACGTAGGCTTTTTTAATGCGTCAAAAATAAGTAAACTGTTATGATGACAAACGAAGGCTAGAATATATAAATTATCGTTATTAATTAAAATTGTAAAGAGCAAACCAAAAAGTATTTAATAATTACCGAAGCTGATCACGCCAATTGACTAAAAGAAAAAGGATCATCATTTAGAATTGATTACATAAAAACTTGATAATCCATGAAAATAAATATTACCTGAAATACTTCAGATTTTATAAAGGCGAATGTACCCTCTTTTCTGCCTTTCAACGATTCATCAACCGTTGGACCTTCTATGGCAACAGCCGCAACAATAATAACCATCGATATTAATGCTAATCCGCTCGCTTTGGCCAAGTTTGTAATATCACGATACAGTGCCAATGGATATGATATGAAGACAGTACAAAGTATTATTACAAAATTTCGCTCTGCGAATAAGTATAGAAATGGAATATCTACTATCCCCGGAAATATTGATTTTATGACATTCGGAATTGTATCTCCTAAATCAATACAAAATTTATCAATATAAAGATTGTTCCCTATAACGAATTCATCAATTGATCACAAACCTATTATGACACAAAATGCACACATCCCTAAAGAAATAATAAAACGATTAAGAAATTATTCAATTCGAAAGATAAAATATTTTCGATCCTTACCCCCAAAAGCAAACACAAATTGAAATAAGGATATGGCAATATATCCTTTCTTTCCAAAACAAAAGTCCATCATGCCTTGATATGAACTTCTCCCTGATAGTTTCGAATTAATAACTAGTAACCGAATCGTCCAATCCACCATTATTGTGAGCACGATCAGTAATATAATCCCAGTAAATATACCGGCCTCTTTAAATGAGTATGGAAGACCTGTACAAATCTGACATCAGTAAATGAGTCAAACTATATAGATAAATAAAAGTCTGTTGATTATCGATTGATACGAACCGATTATTCCTGAATTAGAAGTAAAAGTCAGAGATCATGGGATTTGATCATTAAAATTCCAATAGAATTCCAATAAAGACGATTCTTAACATACCGGCTCCAATAATACTATTGGCCATGTTTAAAAAACTCAAAAAAAAATTTCCACCATCTCCCGGTCTTCTCAAATCTTCATCGCTTCCTATTATTCCGGGATACTCTACCGTTATAACAGAGTCTTGAAGTGAATTATTTAACAGTAAAGGTGTTTCATCGTCATTTTGTCCTTCTTTCTGTGATGGTAAATCTTGAAGCGAAATTGCCCCGTCATCGCTGTTTCTCACGAAAATTTCTTGTTCTTCTGACTCCCTAAGCATTCGTAGTTGTCGATTTTGAAAAGCCTAATGTTGTATGAATGAAACAGGAAGTTACATTATAAGCTGAGATATATTTACGTATGCAACCGAGAAAATTGTGTAACTTGCACTCAAGCTTTTTTTTCCAAAAATATGGTCTACATGTGGCTCATGGCTATTTAAATGAGGCTTGGAAACTTGCAAGTTGATTGGTTATCACAAAAAGCATGTATATCCGGCACTAACTTAAAAAAAATTAGATTTTTATTTTTATAATTTATAATATTTTATACAATATACTGTATAAAACATACTTATACTAAATATATATTTAATTATATTATATGTTATAAAAATCTAATTATTTATTTTATTTTAAATATTTATTTAATAATTAATAATAATAAATTAATAATAATAATTATATGTAAAAACTTTTTTAAACTTTTATTTAATTTTAATCATTATATGTTATATTACAAACATATAATATAATTGTGATTTTTTTTTTTTATTATATATTAAAAATAAATTTTTTTATTACAATAAATGTAAAATATTCAATTTTATTTAAACAAAATCTATAATATCATATTATTTGTTATTTATTTAATTGAAAATTAATAATAAATTAATATAAAACAATTATATATTTGAAATTTAAAAAATATTATTATAAATAAAAAAATTGAAAAATAATAATTTACAAATAATTTATATTTGCTTATGAATACTGTAAATTGCCATATAAACTATTCAGAAATTATTATATTCAATATTAAAATAAATTAATTTAGATTCAAAAAGTCTATTATACAATATAAAATTTTATTTAAAGAGTTTTTTATTTGAAAAGTCTATTGTTTAAAAAATTTTATTATTTAAAAATTATTGTTTATAAGATTAGTTTAGAAAGTCTAAAAAATCATAAATTTATAATAAACAAAATAATTAAATAAAGATAATTTTGTAATTATTTAAAATTTATTTATATAATATGAATTTTTTTTATTTTTTTGTTAAAAATTTCTTGTTCAAAATAATTTATAATCAAAAAATTTAAAATAAATTATAATTACAAAAAAAAAAAATTTTTTTTGAAATATACATATACTGTATATAAATTAACTATTCTTACTTGTCTAAACAAAAATTTTGAAACTAATTATAGCAAAATTTGAAATTTAACTTAATCAAATTTATAATTGAAAAAAAAAACAATAATTAAATAAAATTGCTTTATATATTAAACAATTAAATTTTAAATTAAATTAAAATTTCTTAAACTTGAAAATAATTTAATTAAATAAATTTAAATATTATGAAAATAATGATTATATTTTATAATTTAAAAAAAAATAAAAGTTTTAATTAATATAATTGAATTTAAACAAAAGTATGTAAATATTAAAATGTTTTAATTTAATGATAAATAGTTTTATAAATTTTTGTATCAACACAAATAAGCAATTGTTATTGTACTACTATTATTCAAAAATTATCTAAAAATTTGAAATTAATATAATAAAAGTTTTTAAATTTTGTTTTATTTCAACATATATATAATAATTATTCTTTTATTTTAATTAGCAATATATATGAAATATTATTTTAATTTAATATGTCAAATAATATAACTATTGAAGAAATAAGTATTTATACAGTTAATATTTAAACTTGTAATCATGAAAAATTATACTTTACAGTAGTTTTGATTTGTTTAACAGATAATATAAAATTACTATCAATATTTATATTTAAATTTATCAATATTTATATCAAGACTTTTCAAAAAATATAATTATTTAAACTAATTATAAAGATTTAATAAATATTATTTAATAAATCAAAAATGTTTGAATTCTTTAATTATCTTTAAATAAATCATAATCTTTATTAATTTTAAATTCTTTTTGAAGTCATCTTATATTTTCAATTAAATAATATTTTAATAAACATATAACTAATATAGTTATTATTCCTAAAGAATTAATATTCAAAGTATAATATATTAACATTGCAATTAACTACTCTTTTAAATTAAAGATATATTATTTATTTATTTATTTATTATTCAATATTATATTAAATAAATTATTATAATATTAAATATTTTTAATTAATAAATAAAAAAACAATATAATAAGTAAATAGCTAAAGAAATAAAAGAACTTATATCTTCTAATTAAATTAAATGTTCTCTATATAATCAATCTTATTATATAATAGGTATTAATTATATAAGAACAAATTAATTCTATACTTATTGAAAAATTGTTTAAATATTGTAACATTTCAAATTTTTGAAATAAATCTAAAGATAAGTTAATTTTTAATTATAATAGATTGATTTTAATTTAAAATAGAAAAAAAATAATAATTAAAAAAAAAAAACTCTTATTTGTTTATCACACAATTTCTTGAAAATTTTCTTTTATGGTAATTTTCTTGAAAGAAGTGCTTTTCTTTCTCTCTTTAATATGTTAACTATGCCATAAGCTCAAGAACATAAGGACCACTGTTGTATTGGGATAGGACCTTTGGTTAAAGGTTAAAGATTAAGCAAATTTAGAAGTTTTGCTTGCTCTTTGGTTGCATAGGAAAAGGTCTGTAGAGTTCTCCTTTATAACTTTGTTTTTATACATCTTCCTCTTCTCAATAACCATAATAATCATTTTCATATCAATCTTAATACCATTAATTCATTCCTAAAGTCACATTTAAACAAAGTTACTAGATCTCTTGTTTGTCTTAACCAAATCTTTTTAACTATTTTCATGATATACAATGCTATGCTACTTAAAATTCTATAAAATTTTTCACTATATCAAAAACCAAAATCAGTTCTATTTCTTCAAATGATTAACACAAACTTAACAACTAATCAAAACTTAACAATCATATCTTATAACAATCAAACTGGCTCAAACCTGTTTATAACAACAATAACAATACCAAACAAAAATACCTTAACGGTTTTCCTAGTTATCCCAATAATATCAATATTACAGTCATATAAAAATATTGGACTTTTCATATATCTTACTCAGTCTTTAAACAGTTGCTGTATAGTTTTATAGGTCCAAGCAACAAATCCAAAATCCAATTAATTATTTTCAAAAAAACAGCTGCCATTATAGTTTCACAGGTCCAGACAGTACATTCAAAATCCAATCACAAAAATTTTTACTAATACTCTCCTTAATTTGGCTGTTTGTAAATAAGCATTAGCCATTTATAAACCATCGATAGTTTGTTATCTCCTACTTGGTATTTTTATGAATTAAAGGTTTTTCATATAATAGGCTAGAATTAACTCCCATTAAATAAGATGGTGTAGGATTCTTAATATAATAACAATAAACTTATGTTTAATAAATATCTTGTATTGGCTGATCTCTTGACCAACATTCCAAAACGGCGTTCAGACTAAAGCATGTCTTTATTCTTAACAAAACCTATACACTTT